TTACCTTGACACGCAAGTTTTCTGCAAGTTTGCTCCGCAAACTTTACACAAGGCGAACATTTGCCACAAATTTGCTGCGAACTTGCATGCAAATTTGCGAAGTTTGCAATGCAAACATTCTGCAAAATGTTGTGCTATCTGGAAAAATACACGTGTAATGTCAATTTTTTTTCAAAATGACAATGTCAAGTTTGACTGGACATCAATATGCAATCGTTCTTCATTTCATTTAATGAGTTGTTACTCATTTTATAAATGAAAATTGGGATCCACACTCTCCAACATTGATTTTCATTCCTTCACATGGAAAGCATTCTGGAAAAGAAATTGCTGATATTATCTATAAATATTTAGAAACTTACAATCTGCAAAATAGGATTCAAGGTGTCACAATGGACAATGCTGCGGTAAACTGAAAATTTATGACGGAATTGGCAAAATTAATGCCATTTGATGCTAAAGATGAACATGTTAAGTGTTACGCGCACATTTTACACTTAGGTGTACAAGACTTTTTAAACAAATTAAAACTTGATAGTTTTAATCAAGGTGAAAATGAGAAAAATAAAAATTTAGATAGAGAAGTTGAAAAGTTTCCTCTTGACAAATTAAGAAATTTTTTTTAAAAACTGAAACTTTTAGAACAATGGCGTAAGAAATTAGAAAATTGTTGCAGTATTACTGATGAAACAAGTTGTTCATTTCATGACCATTTAGCTTCCTCAACATATAAAATATAAATTCGTGACATAATTCACTTACAAAATTTTAGCAAACTCCATGTAAACATATGTATAAAATTAAATTTATCGCATAGAATCGGGATAGAATCCAATCAAACATATAAAATATTTACTAAAGTTAATAATATATTCATTACTTCATTTTAGGTACAAATCTGCATGAAAACCAAATTATGATTTTTCAAAAGCATAACAATCAAAGCATACATTCTTCTTAAGGAAATTTCTTTTTAATGCAGCAAGATATATTCATAAATTAAATGTAATTATATTGCGGTTTGCAAACTTTTGCAATTCGAAATGATTCGAATTTTCTGTTGTCGAGTCGATTAATGTTCGGTTCGACTCGATTAAATGCACACCTCTATTTCATATGCAAATTGCTTCTTTTTTTATGATAGAATAATCATTTAAAAATATTAATATTAAATCAATTATGAAAAAATACAAAATTTGAATTTTTTGTGAAAAAGAAAAATTTCTATTAATTTTATAAATTTTGATAAAAAATATACTTTGTATACATCAATCGATTCGTTTTCTTGACAGGAATGTAATTTTGACAATAATTAATTAAAATATTAACAAATAAAAAAATTATTTACAAAAATACAAAAAAATTTTTTTTTTGAATTTTAAAAAAATTGTATAAAAAATTTTTTTTAGATATTTTTGAAAATCCTTGTGTCAGATTTTAGGTATTAATGACTGCAATAAACCTGCAAAATTTCAAGACAATCCATCAAAATTTGTTTGAGATAATTTGTACACAATTTTTGTGACATACACACACACATACACACACACACATACATCTGGACATTTGCTCAGAATTGAATATACATATGTTATAGATGAAAATGAGTCCATATAACCTTCTTTTGAAAAATTGAAAATCGTCACGAATGCAAAGCTTCCTTATGAGGAAGCAAAAATGTACATTTCAAATATTAATGTATCTACCAGATGGAATTCCACTTTTGCATTGATTGATTCTGCACTTAAATGTAAAGTGCATTAAGTTTATTATCAGAAATAAATAAAGATCTCAAGAAATACAAAATTTTGAAATCTGAGTGTCTATTATTATCAATAATCTTTGAATTCTTGGGTTTTTTTAAAGAGCTTACAGAAATTCTAAGCGGAGAAAAATATGTCACTTTTCCGCTAATAATAATTGGCTTTAACTTACTTTTGGACCGAATTACTTCATTTATTGATGAATTATAAGAAGCAAACGTAGTGAAGATTTGACTTGGACAAACGATGCTATTTTATTTGGATTAGAAGCATGCTTGGATAAATTAATGAAACACTACCAGAAAAATAACTGGATTTACGATGCAGTATTGTTATTAGATCCAAGACATAAATTTAAATCATTTAACAACACAACTTGGGAAATGGAAAATAAAAAAGATTGTTTGAAAAAATTCGAGTCCGTTTTTAAAAGTCAATACTATAAACCTAAGGTAATTTATCAGTAAAAAATAAATTCATCAAAATAAATTCAAGTATTTAACTTAAAATAAATTTAATAAATACTTATATACATTTATTTGAACGTAAATATAACTATTGATTAAATATTATTAATATATTAGAAAGAATCTAATACCCAAAATTCAAGTAACTCCTCAGTATCTGTTCCTGATTTTGAGACTTCAAGGAACGAAAAGAAATCCATGAACTTGAGAGGGTTTTTTCGAAATAAACAATCGTAAAAAGAGTTAAAAAGAATTATACTTCTCTAAATGAATGGCGCTGTCAGAAATGGCTCGGGATTTATTTAGCATCGAAGCAATGTCATTTCCAGCAGAAAGGCTTTTCTCTCGTTGTTCTCTTACGATTAGAAAACATTACATTAAATTACCCTGTGGTCACGAAAACGTATTTGTTCTAGAAACGTGTTTAGAACGTTTTATGTGAAGGACATGAAACATTCTTTTAGAAACGTTTCTAGAACAAAGACGTTTATGTGCTCACAGGGTAGATAATGATTCGATCAAATTTCTGATGTGCATAAATTCGTGGATTACTTGCTCTTTAAAAGATGAGATACAAAAAGCATTAAATTCTTAGATTTCGAGATTCGCAAGTGAATAAAATGCTTCAAAATGGCAAGGAAAAATTGCAAAAAGATGTGGATGAAATTAAATTGAGTTTCAACAAAAGAATCCTGAATCTGGAATATTTTATGGATACGCTTATGCACATAATGAATGCAAATCTCAAAGCAAACAGGTTCAGGAATATCCTTATCTTCAAAGTTGAGGAAAAACCAGAGAAAGAGAAAAATATATATGTATAAAAAGTTAAAGGATATTTTCAGACAAGTGCGTGTTAAGATGAATGAATTTTGTATTGAAGCTATATCAAACGTTTTGACTAAGGAGGAACGATTGGTTAAAAAAGAACTCGTAACATTCAAAGACAAGTTCAAAAAGGAAGGCAAACGGAACTTGAAAATAAAGGGAAATTATTGGATAATTGACGAAAAGTCTTTCTCGTTAAATGATCTACGATCAATGGGTGGAAACAGGACTGCATTGGAAAATTTACCGGAATCCAACCAACAAACTGCTCAGAAAACTGCTTCTTTATTAATTTTTGAACAGAGAAGAGGTGAGGGACGTCCCTCAGAAAGCAAGCGGCAACTATCCTCAGAAAGAAAAAATCACCTGTTGGATAAATTTTTTCCTACACCATCCAAATCCAAAGAAGCGAAACAGGAAGACTGGCAATTAGAGCAGGAGTGGAGAACTAGTTTTCTGAAAGAGGAGGCTGTGAAAAAGCAGGATCTGAAGGGAATTCTTGAGGGGAGATCCAGGTCAGAAATTTTATTCTGGAACATCAACGGATTTCGAAACATTACAGACATCGTAGACAACATAGAGAATATTGACATCTTATGTCTGGTTGAGACATTTGAGACATTTCCCGCTTCGTTCGAGAATGATTCAGGAGACCATCCAGCGGTGTTTCTTATAATATCTGAATTTAAACTTTTAGCAAAAGCTGCGGACGTTGCCGCATGTCTTGTGCTGTAACCTTTGAACTATTTGTCTACACCACAAGAGTGCAAAATCGATTTTAACCATTTACTTGATATTTGAGAATACACTTCTTTGTGAGGTTTTTTTTATCGAAATGAACAATTTTTTATTATTTTTATCTCTTAAAGGTTTCGTGATTTGTAAACAGGTTTGTAATGTTTCTGCCACGCATAATTCCGGTTTTTCGTTGAAAAATGGTAAATGTAACAAGGGGTGAAGACTACGACGCTTTGATGTTTTAATACGGTCATCAATTCTACATTCTGCGGCACAGTCTGTAAAAGTTAAATTTTCAACTTTTATTAACGAGAAGGATTGTATCCTATTGCAGTAGATAACGCTAACAACATAATTAATTTTTCAGTTATTTGTTTGAGATTCAGTGACTTGAAGGGGTACCATGTGGATAGGACATTGAGAACGATGGTCGTATCCCATGTACAAGAATGTTCTGGTTTTGGTAAACGCAGATTATAAGTGCTTTTCGAAAAACGACCGAGAATTTGGTTTCCAGAAATATTCGATGATAAAATGATTGATAAGGCAGAATTGTCCGAATTCAATGTCGCGTAGGAGGCACCAGCATTGAATCGATCGGTTAAAAATTCTAAGACAAAAGTTTCCGATACTAGAAAGGTATCAATTTTCTGGTTTTGACAAAATTTCCACCATTGCTTCAAAGAACTATTATATTGTTTAATGGTTGAATCCGCTAGAGACGCGATAAGGACGTCGGCTGATGATTCGGAAATGTTTTTTCTCGTGTACGCTTCCCTGATAGCACTCCTGCAATCAGTGTAAGTTGTTGATGTAAAGGATGTCGAAGAGATCTATAAGAGGAAATAAGAAGATTTGGTGAAGGTTCAAACAATAGTGTATCAGAAATTAAAAGTGATTGGAAAAAAGGGAACCATGGTTGCTTTTCCCAAAAGGGTACTACAACAATACCACATGCTTCGTCAGTAACAATTTTTCTCAAAACTTTAGAAATTAATGCAAATGGTGAAAATGCGTAGAAGAACCAAGGTTTCCATGACGTCGTAAAAGCGTCTATTATTTCAGAATTGGGATATTTTTTCCGTGAGCAATGTCTTTGACATTTTGCATTAATTCTTAAAGCAAATAAATCTATACACGGTTGACCAAACTTTATTTTTAAACTTAAAAAAGCATGTTCTGCGATCTCCCACTCCGCATCTCAATGCTAAGCAAAATCTCACAATCGTGCAAATCTTCTGCGAAACACTTCACGGCAAAGAATGCAGCAATTAATTCCAACGAATTAATTAATACTGTATTCTACTTCTTCCTTCGACCAAATACCACGAGCTCTTTTGCTGTTACAAAAGGCTCTCCATCCAGGTTTAGAAGCATCGGAAAAAATCTCTTTTTAACATTGAAAGCTTCTGATTGGATTGGAAGAATTAGAAACATCATTCTTCCACCATTGTAATTCAGCAATGCATGAGCTGTCAAGGGTAACGTGTTGTTCGAAATTTTGGCCTCCTATTATTTTGCTATTACTTTGCTCTTTCCAATGACTTATAATACAGCCACCCATAAGCTACTGCAGGACAGCTAGAAACCAAAGTACTGATCAAGTGAGCCAGTTCTCTTATTTTCCATCTATTTTTGTTCAGTTTGTCAATTAAGTTTAAAACATGATCTAATAAATCTAAAAAAATTGCAAGAAGAAGATAGGAGAAGATTCCATTTTTTAAAAATTAATTAAGAAACCGAGAGATTTTAAAAAAGAAATTGTCTCTAGAGCTTCTGCGCTACATTTATTCTCAGATTGGCTCATTATGAGAATATCATCCAAATATATAACACACAAAATCTTTCTTTTTCTCAATTGTAACACGACTGGCTTCATAATTTTTGTAAAAATAAATGGGCTTATATTGAGTCCAAAAGAAAGATAGGTAAATTTAAATAGTTTTCCCTGAAAGGAAAAACAAAGAAATTTTCGACAAGATTTATGAATTGCTACAAGCAAATATACATCTTGTATATCTAAATTTATCATGACATCTTCAGCTGTCAGCAAATTTAAAACAGTTCGAATATCTTCAAGCTTAAAGTGAGGTGCAAACCCTGCCAGATTTGGATTTACTATATGTCCACTTTTAAGTGGACAAATGGTAGACATATGGTATACATACGGTAAAAGTGGAAATAGACTATTTAGAAGGTGTTTGATAGCAAAAGGAAGTGTTGAATATGTAAAATGGATGTTTAGAGAATAGATTTTAGCAAATATTGCAATAAATAAATTTCTAAATAATTAATAATTACTTGAAATTCCTGACAGATTCGATAAACATAAATGTATAGGTGGTTAGACTATAAATAGTAGAAAAAAGTTCATCAAAAAAACTAAAAATGTTAGAAAAAGCTCCTATAATTAATAAATTAACTATTCTACTGTCGATTTATCCATTATTTAAGTTCAATTAAATCGTAAATTGTTCAATTATTAATAATAAATATGCGAACTGGGAGACCTGTCAATGTATTGGTAACATACGTGATAGGGGAGAGTGGGGCAATACGGGGCACCAGCCTTATTTAACAAACGAATTAACCAATCGCGATTATATTTTACATAAGACTGCACCGAGACGATAGTTTCTTGTTTATAAAACCTAAAAGTCATGAGAACAAATCTTTTATCTGTTTTCCTAAAAAAACTGTTTTCGACGATTTTCTTGTCATTTTTTCACTTTTTTTAAGAGGTGTTTATTATTTAATAATAACAGTTAATGGACTGTATAAATTTTTTTCTAACTGTCAAGGGTTACAGAAGAAAGGAAGCATATGTTTTTTTTCTTTGTTGAATCGTAAATAGTAGTAATTAATCTTTTTCTTCAATTTCGTAGGTGGGGGCAAGATGGGGTAGGAGAGGGTGGGGCAAGACGGGGTACTCGCAATTTTCATTGTTATTATTATTTTTCGATGGCACTTAAAAGCAACGCACAATTGATTCGCGAATGGCACTCGCGAAGTTGTTGTGCTTAGACCTTTATACTGACGGTGTGTCGTATCCAGTCATGACCTGGTTATTGAGTAGAGTCGAAACTCGATCTGTGAACAGAGTGTAGAGTGGGAGCGCGAACGCCTGTCTGGTACCTATGGATGCAGCTTGTGTAACTAAAGGTGCATCCACACGGTAGTCACAACTAATTCGATGTTGCTGCGCATGCACGTTCTATATAGCACCACTGTGACTGGTAGAAGTCCTTTGTTTATTTCCCTAACGGTTAGAATTTTTTAAGGTTAGTTTTTAGAATCAATTCTACAGAAAAGAATTTGAATAACAGAGAAAAGTAGTTTGGGAGAAAACAAAAACACGGAAATAAGCATTTCAGTATTATACACTATTATACAGTGTTGGTGATAAGAAATTTGAAGATATGAAATCTTTCGCAACATTTTTTTTTAATTTTTTAAGTAACCTAGTACCGACTTTAAAAATAAATAAAATATAAAAAAAAATAAAACATAAAAAATATCAAATATTTTTTTTAATCAAATATTTTTGCATTTGTGAATCAGGGAAAAGTCGTTCACGAATTCAAGTTTGTCAACCTTTCCACTATTTTTTAGTGATATTTATTAGACGATTTTTCATTACTTCAAATTTTGAGAGAACTGAAAAAGTATTTGTGTACACGACTGTTTCTTATTTTTTTTTTGTAGAATGGTGAGAAATTATAAAGGAAAGTCAAGAAGAGGCGATTGGTCAGAAGAGAGCATGAAAAATGCGGTGGACTCGGTAGTTGAAGGAAAAATGGGGTTTTGTCTAGCAGCGAAGACATTTGCTGTACCTCAAACTACTTTGGAGAGAAAAGTGAAAGCCGTTCGTAATCTTTAAGAGGAAGCTTCAACTTCAACAGAATTGAAAGGTCAGCTAGGCCCTAAAAACCAGTTTTTTCTGTGGACGAAGAGAACGAGTTATGCAGTCATCTGTTAGATATGGAAAAGAGTCTTTACGGTCTAACGAGTAAAGATCTTAGAGGCTTAGTCTACCAACTAGCAGTTTGTAATAATAAATCACATCCATTTAATGATGAAAATAAAAGAAGCTGGGAAAGACTGGGTGCAAGCGTTTTTAAAAAGACACCCAGAGCTTTCTATAAGACAACCAGAAAGCACCTCGGCTGCACGTGCTGCCGGATTCAACAAGCAGGCGGTTGACCAATATTTCCTTTTGTTGGGAAATATTTATGATGAGCATCAACCTACACCCGATCGAATTTACAACTGCGACGAAACAGGCATTTCCATCGTGCCTAAAACAAAATCAAAAATAATAGCTCAAAAGGGTCGAAAGCAAGTTGGGGCCATAACTTCCGCAGAAAGAGGTGCGACCATCACGGTTGAAATATGTTTGAGCGCAAGTGGCCAGTATATGCCACCCATGATAATATTTCCCAGAAAGAGGATGAATCCGCAACTAATGATAAATGCTGCACCTGGAGCTTGGGAAACTTGCAGTGAATCTGGCTGGATGACAGCGGAATTATTTCTGGAGTGGTTTAAAAAGTTCATCATTTTTAGTGGAGCAACACTCGATCGTAAAGTTTTGTTGCTGTTAGATGGACATAATTCTCACACGAAAAACCTTTATGTCATACGCGAAGCTCGAGCCCACGGGGTTATCATTTTATGTTTTCCTCCACATACTACTCACCGCCTTCTAGTTGCTGACGTAGTTTATATGAGACCGTTAAGCACGTATTATGATCAACAAATCACTACTTGGCTTCGCAACAATTCAGGACTGGTCGTTACAGTTCAGCAAGTTGCCGAAATATTTGGAAAAGCTTTCATTCAGGCGTCTACAATGTCAACGGCTGTAAACGGGTTCAAAAAATGAGGAATTTGTCCATATGATCAATCAGTTTGTTCTGAAAGCGATTTTGCTGCTTCCAAGGTAACGGATATTCCGCAACCCGAAAGTGCCTCATCCTGAAATACAAACTGCAACCACACATGAGCCACAGGCTGACTTGATTCCATCGCCTCAAGCTACAATAGAGCCAGCTAACAATCCGGATTTAGCTGTCGCTTCTACTTCAACGGCGCCTTCCATGATCCCAAAAAAACGCACTTCAGATAAATCAACGTTTTCTGTTGTCAGTCCTGAACAACTACTGCCCGTTCCAGTAACAAGGAAAACTTCTCGCGCATCTCGAAAACGAGGAAAAAAACAAAGATGATTAAAAAAAATAATAATAAAGTATATATTACATAATTTTCGTTTTTTTGCGCTTTAAACCTTAAGTACCCCATCTTGCCCCACTCTCCCCTACTTGTAACAGACTACGATTCACTACGATCATATTCTAAACGGCGGAACGAAAGGAACTGATTTGGATAAACGCGCGAAGTTTCAAAATGATGTGTAAATATAGTAAACATTAAAAAAAATTGCTTTCTTTGATTTAAGAGATATTACTAATAAAACATATCTTTTACCTTTAGAAAACGTTTTTTTACAACAATGTAATCAAAAATTAGAAATTTAGCAAAACTTTTTCGATTATTAAAATAAATATATTTATTTAAATAAATATTATTCAAAGCTAAAAATCAGTATTTTACTTAGAAAAATAAATTTGAATAAAAATTTTTTAAACAATTTCATGTAAAAAAATAACCTGAACAATTAATTTTGATTGAAAATCAATTATTATTATATTTAGTAGAATACAAAAAATAACTCCTCCTACTTTAAGAAAGCAATTTTTTTATTCTTTGGTTCAATAGCACAAAAAGGAAGTAAATATTTCATTTTTAAAAAGTTACATTTAGTCTTAACTCCTTAAGAAAACAAAGACTTCTGCTATTAGCCAATAAAAAAATTAAACTCCTCCTATATTTTTATTCATTGGTTCAGTTAAACAAAATGGAGAAAAATTTATTATTTAAGAAATAAAACATATAATTCCAACCCCCAAAAAAATGGATGTTCTAGACCAAGTAAAATAAAATTTAAACTCCTCCTTCTCAATCAAAGCTTTTTTTCTATTTGTTGATTGAGCTAAACAAAATAGAGAAAAAATTAAATATTTAAATTTAAAACATACTATTCTAACCCCCAAAAGAAAAAATGGATGTTCTAGACCAATTAAAATAAAATTTAAACTCCTTCTTCTTAATGAAACCTTTTTTCTATTTGTTGGTTCAATAGAACAAAATGGAGAAAATATTAAACTTTAAAAAATATAAAATTTAGTCCCAACCCCTCACGAAAAAATAGACTGCTATTAGCCAATAAAAAAAATCAAACTCTTTCTATATATTTATTTATGGGTTCAGTTAAACAAAATGGAGACAAAATGAATATTTAAATTTAAAACATACAATTCCAACCCCTAAAAGAAAAAATGGATGTTCTAGACCAATTAAAATAAAATTTAAACTCCTTCTTCTTAATGAAACCTTTTTTCTATTTGTTGGTTCAATAGAACAAAATGGAGAAAATATTAAACTTTAAAAAATATAAAATTTAGTCCCAACCCCTCACGAAAAAATAGACTGCTATTAGCCAATAAAAAAAATCAAACTCTTTCTATATATTTATTTATGGGTTCAGTTAAACAAAATGGAGACAAAATGAATATTTAAATTTAAAACATACAATTCCAACCCCTAAAAGAAAAAATTGATGTTCTGGACCAATTAAAATAAAATTTAAACTCCTCCTTCTTAAAGAAACCTATTTTTCTATTTGTTGGTTGAGCTAAACAAAATGGAGAAAAAATTAATATTTAAGAAATAAAACATATAATTTCGACCCCTAAAAGAAAAAATAGATGTTTCAGACCAATTAAAATAAAATTTAAACTCCTCCTTCTTAAAGAAGGAGAGTTCTTCAATAGAACAAAATGTGGAACATATTAAACTTAGTTTAATATTTTCACCATTTTTTGTTTTTTTATATAACTTAGTTTAATATTTTCTCTATTTTGTTCTATTAAAGAACTCTCCTTCTTTAAGAAAAAGGAGTTTAAATTTTATTTTAATTGGTCTAAAACATCCAATTTTTCTTTTGGGGGTTGGAATTAAATGTTTTATTTCTTAAATAATAATTTTTTCTTCATTTTGTTTAACTGAACCAAGGAATAAAAATATAGGAGGAGTTTGATTTTTTTATTGGCTAATAGCCATTTTTTCGTGAGGTGTTGAGACTTATATTTTTTAAAGTTTAATATTTTCTCCATTTTGTTCTATTAAACCCACGAATAAAAAATAGTTTTTATCAAGAGGGAGGAGTTTAAATTTTAATTTAATCGGTCTTAAACATCTATTTTATCTTTTGGGGGTTGGAACTAAATTTTACATTTTTTAAATATTAATATTATCTCCATTTTGTTCTATTGAAGCCACAAATAAAAAATAATTTTTTTTAAGAAGGAGGAGTTTAAATTTTATTTTAATTGGTCTAAATCATCCATTTTTCCTTTTGGAGGTTGATACTAAATTTTATCTTTTTTAAATATTATTATTTTCTCTATTTTGTTCTATTGAAGCCACAAATAAGAAATATTTTTCTTTAACCCTTTGCGTCACAGTGGGTCTCTCAGCGACCCACCTTTTCCTTCTCAGTTTTCAGTATTTCTATGGCATATTTATTAATATTTTTAGGGTTTTTTTCCGGGCATGTTCCTCATACCTAAACAAGTCTAAGAAAACTGTTGATTCACAATTTGTTAATAATAAAAATATTATAAACAAATAAATAACAAAAAATAATGCTTCTTTTTCAGAAAAAATTCATTTTCTACTTATCCTTACTAATTTTTGAGATGATAATTTTTTTCTTTACAAATTAGATCCTAAACTATATTTACAATTGCTTTTTTGAAATTTTTTTTTATAATTTTTAATAATAAATAGCAATTTTTTGTAATAATTTATAAAATAAAAGTATTTCAAATGAAATTTCAAACCTATTTTCATAAAACTCGTTACTCGGGGGTTTCTGGGGTCGCTGAATACGAATCTGGCATCAGATTTGCAAAATTCAAAATGGCGGATCCATTATGGCGGACGCGAAAATAAAAAATGAACAGAATTTGCTTAGAACTCGTTTTTTGGGGGGTTTTTGAGGTCGCTGAATACGAATCTGGCATGAGTATTAATAAATTTATTAATAAACTTAGAAGATTCAAAACGTTCGGATAAAATTAAAGAGTAAAAACAAAAGTGAATGAATCCTGACAATCCACAGTCAGGTAACTCTTTTAACGTAAAATCCTCTTCATAGTATTTCTGTCTATAAAAAAAAGAATTAATTTTTTGATACTGAATATAATGTATCATTTTTGACAATCCGATTAAACAAACTGTAGATATTAGTAAAGAATTGCTAACCGATAAGTAACTGAAAATGTCAAACTTAATGCAGGATGTGATGTAAAAAAACACATACAATAATACTGCTTCTACTCAACAAAATACCTTCTTTCAACGTAAAAGCTATATTAACCTGTTGAGAGAATCGTTAGTAATAGTTTCTCGAATGTCGTTTGTTTGAATGAAGTTGATACTTACCTTTGGAGGGAATCGTTCGTGTTAGTCTGTCGTTTGTGATTTGTTTGTTTGAAGTCGGTACTTACCTGTGGATATAATCGTTCGTGTAAGTCTGTTGATTGTGATTTGTCCGATTGTAGCCGATACTCACCTGTGGAGGAAATCGTTTGTGTTACTTGTGTCGATTTTTATTTGTTTGATTAAAGTCGGTACTTACCTGTGGAGAGAATCGTTCGTGTAAGTCTGTCGTTTGTCATTTGTTTGTTTGAAGTCGGTACTTACCTGTGGAGATAATCGTTCGTGTAAGTCTGTTGATTGTAATTTGTCCGATTGTAGCCTATACTCACCTGTGGAGGAAATCGTTTGTGTTAATTGTGTCGATTGTCATTTGTTTGATTAAAGTCGGTACTTACGTGTGGAGAGAATCGTTCGTGTAAGTCTGTCATTTGTTTGTTTGTCCGCCATATTGGATCCGCCATTTTGAATTTTGAAAATCTGATGCCTGCTTCGTATTCAGCGACCCCAAAAACCCCCGAGTAACGACTTCCAAGCAAATTCTGTTCATTTTTTATTTTCGCGTCCGCCATATTGGATCCGCCATTTTGAATTTTGAAAATCTGATGCCAGATTCGTATTCAGCGACCCCAAAAACCCCCGAGTAACGAGTTCCAAGCAAATTCTGTTCATTTTTTATTTTCGCGTCCGCCATATTGGATCCGCCATTTTGAATTTTGAAAATCTGATGCTAGGTTCGTATTCAGCGACCCCGAGCAATTTTTTTTAATGTTTACCATATTTACACATCATTTTAAAACTTCGCGCGTTTATCCAAATCAGTTCCTTTCGTTCCGCCGTTCAGAATATGATCGTAGTGAATCGTAGACTGCTACAAGTATCACGCATGTTACTAATACATTGACAGGTCTCACAGTTCGCATATTTATTATTAATAATTGAACAATTTACGATTTAATTCAACTTAAATAATGGATAAATCGACTGTAGAATAGTTAATTTATTAATTATAAGAGCTTTCTCTAACATTTTTAGTTTTTTTGATGAACTTTTTTCTACTATTTATAGTCTAACCACCTATACATTTATGTTTATCGAATCTGTCAGGAATTTCAAGTAATTATTAATTATTTAGAAATTTATTTATTGCAATATTTGCTAAAATCTATTCTCTAAACATCCATTTTACATATTCAACACTTCCTTTTGCTATCAAACACCTTCTAAATAGTCTATTTTTACTTTTACCGTATGTCTACCATATGTCTACCATTTGTCCACTTTAAAAGTGGACATATAGTATATAAATTTATTTAACTTTTTTAAGTTGAAGATAAATCTTTTCAAACCGTCCGGTTTATCTACTAGAAAATATGTTGACAAAAATTGACCTTTAACAGGTGAACAACTTTCTATTGCACATTTTAGCTGCAATTTTAAAATTGCAACTTCAACATCTGATTTAGGTAAGGAAGGCTCAGGAGGAACTGAAATATGGATTGGAGTATTCATAAATTGAATTTTATAACTGGATATACAATTTAAAACAAAATTGTCATTTGTTATTTTTTCCAATTATGTAAAAAGTAACGAAGTCTGCCTGCTATTCCTACCTCTAATATTTCTTCCCTGGTGTTGTCTTGGATCCGCTCGGTTGTTGACTTCT